GGATACAGCTCCTGGCCAGACGGCAGGATGTGGTGATACCGGTGGTGTGTGGCAACGGCTGCACGTCCTTCATAAAAGCCAAAGGTGCGAGAAAAGTTCTCTTTGTATGCCTTGCTGCCGTTTGGGAAGATGTGCCACGCATCCTCTCCAACTCGCACTGGCGCCAAACCCGGCTCATGAAATGGAAGTGCATCATCGAAGCGATGCACATAGAGCGGCTTTTCTAGCCCATCTCGAAGGTAAACATGATGTGTTCTCTCTTTCGAAACCCTTGAAACCTGCCACTGCAAGGGCACAGACGACAGGTGTTCACACAGCAGCAGCGAAGCTGCTGCTACAGCTAGAAGTGACCATGGCTTCGGGGTCAGAGCGCGTGGACGCATCATTGTTGATGCAAAAACGTTCAAGCCAAAAGTCTGGCACATGCATCTGCACTGCACCTGCTCGACTCAGGAAAAGTAAAACAGTTTGCATGCGCTCCTTCCAATCTCTTTTTGCACAAACTGAGCTAACAAATCCTCTTGGAAAGTATACCTGAAACTGAAACTCCTCAGTTGCGCTACTTCCAAGCGAATTCACAGTTTCAAAGCCGTTGGGGCACCCCGCGCAGGAAATATCGATAGTACAAAATCCCGCGCACGAGACACCCAACTACTATCCCAGCACCAAAAAAGGTACATCACCGATGCGATGGATAAGGCATAGACATGAAGCGTATATAAGAGGAAGGCTGATCCATAGACCCCCACGTTGGTGATGATGGATACAAATGCAAGCCGGTCAGTGAAGCCGAAACCGTAGAAGATCGAATCCAGCAGAGCAGCAAACATGTAGAAGAAATAGAAGGGCAAAAGCCATTGGACAATACTTAGGGCCATTGAAGGGTCTTTCACATTGAGCACCACGTGAAAGAAACTTGACCAACAAGGTTTGCTGATCATCCAGATCACAAAAAGAATCGCAGACAGTACCAAATATGCAGGTAGAATGTCCCAGTGTGCTGAAGTTACCCGAGCTCTACAGGAAACTTCTTGTTTCAGTAACTCTGCCAAAGGCAGAAACAGAAGGAGGAGCCACTTCCAAATGAAGTTGTTTGCAAGCCAATAGTTTCCGGACTGGTTCAACACGTTAACCATTCGCGCGATGAAGATCATGTAGCTCAAGTTCCGCATTGAGGATGCAACCGCCGCCCATCGACCCACACGCCGCCATTTCATAAGCCACGTCCAAGTCAAAGGGCGCACGAAACAGTTCGGCAGGTAGCGAAGAGCAACGATAAATATCAAGGTGTAGGTGCCTGGCCGCAGTCCTAAATGTACTAAAAAGAAATTCTTAGATCTAGAGGCAGTCAAAGGGTGATCAAACAACTCTTAAAGGGGTGTCCAATACTTGACCAGAAGGGGTTTGGTAGATCGGACCCACGCTTTTAAATATCCACTAAACAAACTGAACAGGAGCCAGGTAGCTTGCAGGTTTCTACTGTCAAGTTCCTTAAAAGCGTGTCGTGAACAATTTTTTTCGCTCTCAACTTGATGGGTTCAAGGCCTGCGGCACACATGGGTTGGAACCTCCGGTTCCACACTGGTGTACCGGTTTGCTACACTGACAAAGCATGACCATGAAGCATCACGCCTTATGCATCACGATTCTCACATTCCTCCAAATTCTGTGTTTGCCCCTGCAAGAAGTTCATTTTGCACGTCGGAGGAGAGTCTCTCCTCATCATCTCATCATACTCTTCAAACCCTCGACCAACAATTCGACATTTCAGCGCTAGCCCCTCCTTCTCCCACTCTTGTTTTCTCTTCATCTTGATTGCCTTTGATTGCCTTTGATTGCCCTGGTGGGGCCGTCTGGATGGTTCCCACTCCTTTTGGCAGCACCTTGTCGATCTCTTCATCTGATAACTGTGGCGCTTTTACTGTGGGAAGGTGCCTCGTATTTCTTGGATACCAACTGCATCACCAACAAAAAACAACAAATATCCCGCTATATTGACAAATGCACCAAGAACTC